TGTGTGTGTGTGGCGGGTGGGGGGGGGTGGCTCAGAAAGGAAAAGGTTGAGGACCCCTGACCTATGCAACTTGTGTCAGAACACCAAGATTTTCAGTGCAGGAAGCCACTTTGTAACAAGATGAAAGAATTTCCAGTTTGGGCTGGGTTTGATTAATCAGCCAGAGGGCTGGGTGTTCTCTGAATGTTCTCTGACTTGCACAAGGGGATTGCAAAGTGGAGCTTGGACTCTGATGACACTGGGGCTCTGTCCTGACATTCCCAGGCATACTCCAGAACCATCTTCCTGGCTATATTTTGTCTTTTCCACATCTGTTCCCAGCATAAACCCAGCTGTACAACAACGCAGTGTGTGCAAAAACTAATGGTGGGCACACATTTGGCGTGGGGGTTATATTGTGTCTGACCAAGATCATGCATGCCTTCGTGAAAGTCCTGATTTGGGCTTTCATTGCTCTGGGTTTCAGGGATCGTGCAGGACATGTGACAGTACCTTGCAAATCTGTGCTCAGACGGCTGGAGGATAATAGTCTGTCAGGAGAGCTGCACTGGTCTGCAACAAAGGAAAGAAGACACATGTCAGACAGAGTAGGGGCTTAATGCTGTGGGTTTTCTATGACAACACTGGTGTTAACCAGAGATGGTCCTGAGATGAGGATTCAAATTTGGGTATAGGTCCAAATTTTAGCTCCCTCAAAGTTCCAAGTGTCCAAATCTGGGGCTCTGGTTCAGACCTGTCTCTAGTTTAAATCCTGGTTAAGTCCCCCGTAAAAACATCCACTTGGTTGATCTTATCCTAGATCTGATTTTACTTCATCCTAAAGCCACCAGCCATTTTCACATGGCTAGCTCTCCCTAATGCCTGCCTGCAATAGCAGAGGCGGCAGCAGGCCAGGCCTGAGGTGCATTGGCAGAGAGTGTTGCAGGGAGGGGCAGGACTAGGTTAAGAGGGGATGTTGTAAGTCAGGTTGGGGAGCAGAGCAAAGTTGTATGCATGGGTCTGTCTAGTTCTAACTGATAGAAAAGTGTGCCTGGTACAAAGCTCTTTATAGCCCTAGACAGCAAACCTCTAGAATACTATGAGGTTGTCTGGGTGTCCTCACCCCCATCCTGGAATCATGTGCCTCTGCACAGGAGTATGGATGTACATGGTAGTAACCACTTGCAGGGTTAGGCCTTATACAACCCATAATGAGTTGTGACTACTTATTGCTTATATACCCAGCTTAGGGAAAAAGTTGGGTTACATATTTATTTTTATTTAAATAGGGCTCAGTTTGTGCCTATAATGCATGTCCCTGCTCTGAGGGCAATGCAGAGCTGCACCGGCCAAAGAAAACGCCGAGAGGCCTGGCACTGCCCTCCAGAGCTAGGTGCACAGAGGCACCACTTCCCTTAGGGACGCCACAGACTCCCCTTGCACGGCTGGCCACTGTGGCCGGCGTCATGGGCTGGCACATAGGGTAGACAGCTCTATATGCCTCTGTAAGAATAATCTGACTAGTCTTTATTTTTATACAAAATTTCAGGGGAAATGCTCATCCTTTTTTTTTTTAAGTTCACACAGTGCAAAAAAATTGCCCGTGGGCTTTTCTGGGGCCCTTTACTATGCCCCTTGAACTTATAGGTGTAATTATTTAGCAGTGCCTAGTAACTTTGCAATACACTATATTGTGTGGTTCATGGTTTCCCAGTGTGCTGCCAGCACCTCCCTGAGAGGTCATTCTAGCCAACTGCTGGCTCTTCCACAGTGTTGTTAGCTGAAATGTCTGGCGGTTCCAAGGTTAAAAGGGCAAGGACTGGAGTATTTCTCTGTGCCCTCTACATAGCACAGCTGTCACCTCAGATTCAGGTCATGGCAGGAGGGAATCCGGGAATCACATGTCTCAAGCCAGCCCTTCAGTTCTGTGTAATGTTCAAACAGAATTAAAGCCAAAGCGGTTGCCTGGATATTTTATTGCAGAGGAAATCCAGGATGGCAGAGGCATGTTTAGGATTGTTTCATTAGCCTGACAGAGCAAGAACCTGCAGAACCTAAAAGTCAGCTGCACTTTGAATATGACGGCAGTGGCGGCTCCAGGCACCAGCGCTCCAAGTGCGTGCCTGGGGCGGCAAACCGCGGGGGGCACCCTGCTGGTCCCTGCGAGGGCGGCAGTCAGGCTGCCTTCGGCGGCATGCCTGCGGGAGGTCCGCCGGTCCTGCGGATTTGGCGGCAATTCGGCGGCGGGTATGCCAAATCCGCGGGACCAGGGACCTCCCTCAGGCAAGCCGCCGAAGGTAGCCTGCCTGCCGTGCTTGGGGCGGCAAAAAAGCTAGAGCCGCCCCTGCGTGACGGTACTCTTATGGCTGGCCTGGCGGCCTTATTGCTGCACTAGCAGCTTAAGGATGTGGCTCTTGGTTACAGAGATCCTGGTATGAAGCTCTGGTGGCAAAAGAAAAAATACTATGAAAGTTATGACACCTCTAATTTTAGCAGAGACATGCTAGAGGTAAGACTTTTGCTCAGACTGCAAGAGGTGCTTGGTTCAGATTGCACACAAGACCTGAAGGTCGATATGAAAACCATGTGCTTCTCATCCCGAAGATATGCAGATCATGCATGGATGTACATGCAGTTGTATGTATCTGCATCAAGCCTACATTTCGTATTTGGTTTCTGAATTTGAAAACACTTGAAATTATAGTTTTCCCTTGTAATTTTGACAATATTAATATTGAGGCCAGGTCTGAGCATTCCAGTGTGGCTATGAAATTCAATATGATGTGGGAAGTTTGGAGTGTGTCTGTGGTGTGTCTGTAGCTGTATATTTAAGGACAAATTTCCAGCCACCTTCAAAGGGGCCTCTAACTTTGTGCCTGGTAAGTGTGTAGTTAGGCTCACAATTACTTGCCCTGAATGCTCAGATGCCTATTTGCATGTGAGGTTTATGCAAACAAATGCGCATGTGTAATTTTTCAGAAAGAAAACTGGAGGCACTTCTTAATACGAAGCCCTTAATCTCCTGAGATACTACATCTGTATATGCAAGTGATGGTTGTCAGGATTTAGGAATCAGCCTTTTTACTGCAGTAAAATAATAACAAAAACTTTCCATTCTGCACAGGCAAAAAAGTCAAGAACCAGGGCTGGGGGCCTAGCAGGTCTGCTCCCTTTCCTCTCTCCCCACCAAATAAAAACAAACCAGCAAAATCTCACACTTCTCTCTTTCCCATTTCTTGGATTTCAGCCTGGTCTCCGGAGCCTTTTCTCCCCTCCTACACCCAGTGTTCCCTGGTGGCTCTCTGATGTCACTTACTGTTTGAACCCATTATTTTATGGTATTTAGAAGCATAGGACAGACTAGTCGAGTAGACTATCCCCAGCAGTGGCCAATACCCAGCTCTTACCTATCTCTCTTGGCACCTCCTTGATCAGAGGTGGAATGGGTATGTCATCTTCTAAGTTCTCCTCAATGGAAGATACACTTTTATGCTCAAAGTCTTCAGAGTAATCTGAGCTGCTGTCTAGAGTGCTGGAGAGCTCCTCTGGCTCATAAAGCTCTGGACTGTGTGTGTTGATATACCGTGGAGCTGACTTTGGCCTTAAGGCTCCCCTCCCTTGGTGAGCCAACAGTGTCTTACTTTGAGGTGTGGATGAGAGGGGATCTGTGTTGTCCTCCTCATGGAGCTTTGCCAGATGTTGCTGCTTGAAGAGTTGGGATTCTTGGTGAAGGAAGAGCTTCAGGTGTTGCTGGACAAAAGGGATGTTGAGGATGCTGCTGGCACTGGGTCTCTTTCCTGGGCACTTTGCCAGGATGGTTTGGATCAAGCCATGCAGGGGCTCAGAATAGCACTCTGGCACAGCGGCATACTCGCCTTTCACAATCTTGTAAAACAAGCTGACCAGATTTATTCCATCAAAGGGTGGCTTTAAGGCACACATTTCAAAGAGAACACATCCCAGCGCCCAGATGTCTGACTTGGAGCTGTACGGCACATCCTCGCAGAGCTCTGGGCTCAAGTAATAGGGTGTGCCTACAAAAGTGCTTGCCATGTCCAGGGTGCTGTTCATGACCTTCGAAATGCCAAAGTCCCCCAGTTTCACCATCCCTTTCTTAGTGAGAAACACATTGGATGTTTTGATATCTCGGTGCAGGATCTTTATGGAATGGATGTACTGAACAGCCATAGCTAGTTGCACAAACCATTCCATGATTGTGTTCTCGGGAAAGTACCCCTCCTTCCTCATCTTAATGTGGTCATCCAGGGAGCCACCATCACAGTAATCCTGGATGATGAACATATGTTCCTCCTCAAAGAAGTGCTCATGGCAGGTTACAATGTGGAGGTGCTTGAGTTTGCCCAGGATGGTCACCTCCTGAAGCACTGCCTCTTTGGTTCTCATTTTCTTTGATGGATCTGTCTTGATTTTTTTCACGGCAAACAGTTTCTTTGTCTCTATGTTCCTCATCAGGAAGACCTCAGCACTTGATCCCCTGCCTATGGTTAGTATTTGCTCATACTTCTCCATTGTCTCAACCAGCGTTCAAGCTAGAAGGAGAAGCAAAACCTCAGGTTACCATGTTAAAGATGTCAACCAAGTCTGCATGCTTTCTGTTTCACGACTGAGGGAGGTTACCCTCAACTTTATGCTAATTGTGTGGTTGTGTTGATGACAGGGATTGGAAGGGGGCAAGGTGTTGGTAACAGGATTTGGAGCCTTTCACCTCTACATCACTGGTTTGAATCTGCACCAGGCCAGGAGGGATTGAATGATGTGGCTCTCTGACAGCAGTTGCTTAGTAGGCCTGTGAGAAGGGATTTGCTGGGCTCAGTCCAGTGGCTAGGAGCTACATCACAGAAACCACTATGACACTAATTCCCGTTGTTGGCAATTTTAGCTGAAAGGCCAAGGATTGAATGGGCCATGCTTCACCAACAGAGGTGGCCTCTCCAGGGCAGGGTTGAGGTTTATTGGTGGGGGTTGATGTTCAGGAAGCTTGCACTGCTGCTGGTCTGCAGTGTGACTGTGATGCCGACAGACCAGGTGCCAGCTCATGCCAATGCCCCCATGTCTCAATGGAACACTGACGAATATCTCGTGGAACCAGGCTGGATCACCGGTGAGTTAGTGTAGTTAAAATAGATATTAGGATTAAAAATGTGTTTAGTCTTTTTTTGAAAGCTTGTGAGTTGCTGCATGCATTAATCTCACTTATAACATCTGCATCCCGTTTTGTAAGGTAATATTAGAGTGGTTGTATTGTAAGCCTCTGTGACTATGTAAATCACCAGACAGGAGAGATGCATTAACTAATGTAAAGTGCTAATCTGCAACAGTAGGTGCTACATCCTGCCCAATGGGAAAGGTCCATTGACACCAGATGGACACTAGAGGGTCTACTGTGGGGCATTAAAGAGGACAAAAGACTCTGTTGTCCTACTCTCCCCTCAATGAAGATTAGTCATGCAAGTGAATTCTCCCATCAGCTGAGTTTGCAGTTCAGAGCACATAGCAGGAAGGGGATAAAAACCCCAGACAGAAAAGAAACTGATTATCTCTATGCTGCTTGGCCCCTGAGGGGCAAGGTTTGCTAGGCATAAGCAAAAGATCCTCAGTGCTTAGCCTGGGTTAGCCCTAAAGGACATATAGAGCTTGCTTATTATAGAAGCTTCTATTACTTTTTGAAACGTAAGATTGTAACTCATTTGTGTATATATGTTTATCTGCTTTAACCTTGTAAATAATTCTCCTGTTTCCTTTTCCTACTTTATAAATCTGTATGTAGTTTATTATATGCAGGGCCGGCTCCAGCTTTTCTGCCACCCCAAGCAGCAAAAGAACGAGCGGCGGCACTTCGGCAGCAGCTAAAGCGCGCTGCTTCTTCGGCAGCAGTTTGGTGGCGGGTCCTCCCTCTCTTCCTCTTCGGCGGCAATTCGGCGGCAGCTCAAAGAGGAAGAGAGGGAATGAGGGACCCGCCGCCGAATTGCCGCCGAAGACCCGGACGTGCTACCCCGATACCAGACGGAGTGCCGCCACTTTGAATTGGCCGCCCCAAGCACCTGCTTCCTATGCTGGTGCCTGGAGCCGGCCCTGATTATATGATAGGCTACAAGCTAAGTTCCCTCTAAGCTGTGTGGCCGTGCAGCAGGCTATCAAGGACTGCGCAGGCACGCCGCGGGGAGAGACGCCTCTCCCCCAACCCTGGCCCTGGAGCTGCTGCAGCCGACAAAAGGCGCCTCTCCCCCTGCCCTGGAGCTGCTGCGGTGAGAGAGGGCTGGGGGGAGTCCTCTCTCCCTGCTGCAGCCCTGGGGCAGCCTGCATCCCAAACCTCTCATCCCCAGCCCCACCCCAGAGCCCTCACCTCCCTGCACCCCAATCCTCTGCCCCAGCCCTGAGCCCCCTCCCACACCCCAAACTCCTCATCCCCGGCCCCATCCCAGAGCCCGGACCCCAAGCCAGAGTCCTCACCCCCCGGCACCGCAACCCTCTATCCCAGCCCTGAGCCCCCTCCCACACTACGAACTCCTCGGCCCCACCCCCGCCATACATCACTTCCATATTGGTGCACATAACAAAATTCATTTCACACATGAATGTAAAAACTTAGAGGGAACATTGGCTACAAGTGTCTTTGGTGTGAGATCTAAGGTACAATTGACCTGAGGTAAGTGACTGGTCCTTTGGGACTGGAAGTAACCTAAATACTGCTGAGATCCTTGGCATAAGGGACCATCTATCACAGTGGCTCTCAACTTTTCCAGACTACTGTACCCTTTTCAGGAGTCTGATTTGTCATGTATCCCCAAGTTTCACCTCACTTAAGATCTACTTGCTTACAAAATCAGACATAAAAATACCAAAGTGTCTCAGCACACTAGTACTGAAAAATAGCTGACTTTCTCATTTTTACCATATAATTATAAAATCAATTGATTGGAATATAAATATTGTACTTACATTTTAGTGTAAACTATATAAAACAGCATAAACAAGTCATTGTCTGTATGAAATGTTAGTTTGTACTGACTTTGCTAGTGCTTTTTATGTAGCCTGTTGTAAAACTAGGCAAATATCTAGATGAGTTGATGTAACCCCTGGCAGAGCTCTGTGGACCCCCAGGAGTATGTGTACCCCTGGTTGAGAACCACTGATCTGTCACAAAGGCAGGCTCACCTGGGTGGCAAGACAGATCGGAGAACCCAAGGGGACTGTCTGCGACTCCATGTTTAGGCTGTCCTAGTGCCTGTGGAGTTTACACTTGATTATTAGTTGGTGAAGTCTAAGTATAGAATTCACAACCCATTTGGGGTTTGTTCCCAGGTTCTTAACAGGCCACCCTGAGGTTGGTGCTCACACTCTTGAGTCTTTGAAGGCTGCGTTACAGTGACCAGTGAGTGAATGGAATCCAAATCCCCTGATTTGAAGTTGTTTGCTTTAACCACAAGACCATCCTTCCTCCCTGAGAAGCAGGGCCAGCTCCCAGCACCAGCATTCCAAGCAGGTGCTTGGGGCGGCAATCTGCAAGAGGCAGCAGTCTGTGTGTTTTTGCTGCCCCAAGCAGCGCACTGACTTGCCACCGTGAAGGGCAGGGACAGTCTGTGTGCCATTAGGGTGGCACGTGCGTTTCCGCGGTGGTGGCAATTCGGCGGCAGCTTCTATGTTCAGCTGCCCGCGGCGGCAATTTGGCGGCGTCTGTCTTTTGGCTGAAGACAGAAGCTGCCGCCGAATTGCCGCCGCCGCGGAAACGCGCGTGCAGCCCTAACGGCACACGGACAGCCCCCACCGTCCGCAGCGGCAATACGGCGCACTGCTTGGGGTGGCAAAAACAGTAGAACCAGCCTTGCTGAGAAGTAATGAGCTGCTGGCCGGGGAAGGCATATTTACAGGGGTTGTGAAACAACCAAGAGCAAATGCCGTATAGTGCCAAACTGTACTAGGGAATCGCCAGCTATGAAACTGGAAAGCATCTGGACAAAAGAGTAGACAGTGAGGCAATGCATGCCTGGCAGAACTGAGACACCTTCTGCCTCCCAGGTTCCAGGGAACTCTTGGGGCTAACATATGAGGGTCTGGCAGAGTTGTGCCTGCACCATGTGTAGACAGACCCAGACTAGCTCAGGAACCAACAGCAGTGAAATTGCATTAGTGTGGGCTGAACAAACCCACCTGGGACCCCCAGTGCTTACTCAGTGGCTAGTTTGCACTGAAGGCCATGCTGCTACGGCTTCACTGCTATCAATCCCTGGCCTAGCTAGACCAATGCTAGCTCAGGTACATCTACACGTGCTGCACTCCCACCTATGACTGCAGCGTAGACAGACCTGGAGACACAATATCGCCTCAGAGGGGAAGCTCCACAGTACACAAGAGCTTGTTGGAAGTGTGGTTGAGCTCTGAAAGGTGCTTGTAGAAAAATGGCCCCTCCTTACTCCAAAGGTCTGATGCCCATGTGTGTATCAGGTTCAGAGCTGCTGGCTTTACTGAGCCAACTCCGTTTTCACTCCTGCCAATCCTATGGAAGAACAACCTGCATTCTGTTTCTCCTGTTGCAGTATAATGACGGTTGCAATTACAGGGCCAATCAGTGAAACCTTTGCAAACCCAAGTAAGACAATGGGGTTGCAAAGGTGTCGCTGAGGGTAGAGTTTGGCCTCTAGGACCTTTATTATTGCCAATGCTGAGCAAGAAGGAAAGAGCCCAGCCTGACGCTCAAGTACCAGGAATTGACGGGGCTGGCAGTTAGAAAGGAAACCATCTTTTGATGTGTAACCTGAGTGCTTTGCAGATGGAGGCAGGGGAAGATAAAGAGGAGGCTTCTGTAGTGTCATTTCTACAAAGTCAGAGCAGAGCCATATTTTCAACTTACAGCCACCTTCCCCCCCATTCTCTCCTGTGCCAGGCTAATGAACGGCTTGACAGGCTGGAGAACGCAGGCCTCCTGCCATAGCGCAGGTAATGGCAACGTAAGCTTGCCTGGAGACCACGCCAGTGCACCAAAGCTCTGCCCTGCAGAGACCCAGATAGGGCAAGAGGTGTGTTCTGTCTCCACAGCCCATCTAGTCCTTGGCTCTGCTGAGGCTGCCATGAAGGGAGGGGGCCAACTACTGCCCACTGTGAGGGACACCATTGACCAGGGGCGGCTCTATGTTTTTTGCTGCCCCAAGCACGGCAGGCAGGCGGCTTTTGGCACCATGCCTGCGGGATGTCTGTCGGTGCCGCTCCATCGGCATACCTGCCGCCGAATTGCCGCCAAAGCTGCAGGACCGGCGGACCTCTTGCAGGCATGCCGCGGAAGGCCGCCCCCTGCGGCTTGCTGCCCCAGGCACGCGCTTGCTGCGCTGGTGCCTGGAGCCGCCCCTGCCACTGACCCCTTTCCCATCACACATTCATGTGTTTCAGCCACTCCCAGTGCTGGTTGGACTTGAACTGGTGCCCTGGGCAAAACTCTTGTCACACATCTGCTGCCAGTGGAGCCCCTCCCACACAAGGTGATTAGCACAAGCAGTGGGGCCTGAAAAGGGAGCAGAGACGGAGAGAGGGAGGAAGGAAGATGTTGAGAGGAGCCTGGAAAACTCCTAGGAAGGTCACAGGGGGCAGTGAGAGCAGAGGACAAACCTCCATGTGGGTAGGGTAACCAGATGTCCCAATTTTATAGGGACAGTCACAATTTTTGGGTCTTTTTCTTATAAAGGCTCCTATTAGCCCCCATCCCCTGTCCCGATTTTTCACACTTGCGGTCTTGTCACCCTACATGTGGGTTCTTCTGAAATCTTCTCCAATCTCTTTAAACAACGGTAAAACAAGTGCTGTAGCTATGTTCCTCCCCACAGCAGTGCCCCTGAAACAGAGCTTTGTTTATTCTGCAGTCCTTGGCTTTTCTAACTTCCCATAGTTCCATTTTCTTTTAAGCTGTCACGTATAGCAGGTTTCTCCATCAAAGAAACTCACAACAAAAGCAAAGTACAGCAAAGCTACACTAGGCAAATATAGGAACTTAGGACCTGCCAGGTCATTGAGTCCAGTCCCCTGATATCACAGGAAACCCCATCGAGTGATCCTGTTCATAAATTTATCTATAGAGTATAAATGAAAAGCACCATTTACAAAACATATCGCTGAATGGCTGCTATCACAGTAAATGCTATGTAAATGCATCTGAATGCAATACAGAAAATGTTCGTTCCCATTATCTCAATTCAAGAGGGTTTATACTGTATCTCTTTCATCTTTCCTGTGCTGCTCATATATACATACACATACCCACTGTAATCACCAGTCTCTATTACACATAGTTTGCTCAGAGTTTCTTTCCTGATCCTTTTTTTTCCTTTTCAATATCTGCCATTTTGGTGCAGCTTTTGCCATAGTCCCCTCAAATATTCATAAAAGGGGCAGTGCAGAAACAAAGTGAGCTAAATCTAACACCCTTTGGGTCAAGTGCATTCATGCATTCCCTTCTCTCCTGTCCCTCTCCTCATCCCCTCTTCCCCTGAAGCCTCCTCCCCCAAGGGGCTGGATCCATGTAGAACCCCCCCCCCCACCTATAAACTGTGTTCCTGTGACTTTACACACCATTTCCCCTGAAAACAGTGACTTTTACTAAATTAGGGTTACCATCTTTTAGTTTTTAAAAAGGAGGACACTCCATGGGGACCCAGACCCGCCCCAACCCCGCCCCTTCCCCACCCTCAGCCCCGCCCCAACTCTGCCCCCTCCCCTGAACGCTCCGCCCCCTGCTCTCCTCCCCCTCCCCTGCTTCCCGCGAATCAAATGTTCGCGGGAAGCCTGAAACAGGGAGGCAGCAGGTAGGCTGGGGCGGGGTGCGGCGCGGCGCGGCCCAGTCCGGCCCTCCTGGCCGAGCGGCTCCCTTCGGCGGCCAGCTGGCCGGCTCAGGCCAAGAGGCTCTGGCCCCAGCGTCTCCCGCCCGGCTTGGCTCGGGCCCTGGGGCACTGGCTCCCGGCCCGGCCTCGCGACCCCAGCCCCCGGCCCGGGACCGCGCGCCCGGCTCCTGGACCCAGGCCCGGCACCGCGCCCCCGGCTCCCGGCCCGACACCGCGCC